TAGTTCTACTAAGCACAAATCTACCTCTAAAGTGTATATGTGTATATATACATATATGTATATACGTATATACATGTGTATATATGTATATGTGTGTATATATGGTGATATGCTGAATCCAAACTAGGGAATGCTGATTAGTTCAGGACCAGAGTCCTAGTGGGCATCACCTACAAGTACTGAATTGTCGAGATCCACACTTTGAAGAAAATTCTAGTGGTTAGGAGATGGACCATCTCTGAAGTTCTTTATTGTAAGTGTACTTGAATGTAATCTTAATGATTTTTTAAAGGATTTATTTTTATAAAATGTGATGCATAAGATACATGTATTCATGTGGGTGCCTGCAGAGGCCAGAGATGGTGTCGAATCCCCTGGATCTGGAGTTACAGGCAGTTGTGAGTCTCCAGACATGGGGGCTAGGAACCAAACTCAGGTCCTTTAAAAGAGCAGTAAGTGCTCTTAACCATTGAGCCATCTCTCTAACCTCACACTTTTTTAAATTATAAAATAATTTGTTCATTTCTTGAACAAATTTTCATGAAATCCAACTGTAAAACAAGTAAACAACAACAAAACCCAAGAATTCTGTGCGAGAGCCCATTTGGGCTATTTTATAAAGTACAGCTCTTTTTCCTATGTTAGCACGACATTCTTTTAGCCCCTGAGGAAGATGATGATGATTCATCCCTCAACCCCCATTAGTTTTCTGTAGACCTCCCCACTGTACCCCCAAGGCTGCAAAACAAAGCTTCTGTTACTCCATTTTCATATTAGTAGCTCAATTATGATTCTAGTAATCAATGCAATATGAAACAAATGATTATAGTCAGTTACAGGCAGTGGATTATGCTGTCATAACTTGAACAGCCACTGCAACTGGATAGAAATTCAGACAATGGCAAAGTACATATGTGTAAGCTAAAATCCCAGACTTTATGCTCATCCATCCCTCTGTGCTGCCTAAGCAAGATTTCCCCCCATTAACAACATAAGTTATATTTCAAGCCTACCAGTTATCCCTAGACTTCATTATATGGTGATCTAGGAGTGGTATCTGAGCTCTCTGAGTCCCTTGTGGGTAGTGCTCTGTGTTATGAACCATGGTTAACAACTGTACTATACCTACTTCCCAAGAATAGCTGGTGAAAATGATCACAATTTCCATAAGTTTGCAAAGCAAGGCAGATTGCCATTTGAGCAGAGTCCTGCAGTATTCAATGACTCGCATAAAAGCCAGACCCGTTCTCACTCCTGCTCTGTGATGAGCATAAGTTGTTCTTTGACAGAACACAGAATTGGCTTATTGGGGTTTGGGAGGAAGCAAGGACTTATGAGACTGGACCACCTCGTTCCAACTTTGAGCAATTTCAAAGGACAAGGCTTTGTGATTTGGAACAACTTGTACAACTTCATTATCTTGGGTCTGGCTGAAACTAGAAAACAACATCCCTTCTTAATCCCATGTGTTGAGAACTCTAAAATCATTATAAATAAAAGCCATGGCAGTGTGCCCAAATGCCCTTCAGTGATGGTGTGGCCCAATTTAGCAGGTAGCGTTGGTTGGATTTGGGACTGTCCCTTCATTGGAAATAGACCAAAGGCTATGACCCCTCATTTACTAAACAGCCAAAGATGGTTATGTACTTCATAGCTCCAGCATACCAAACAGGAGTCATGATCTCTAAAAAGAAGTTAACATAATTACTGTGAATACTGCCAGTTTACCAGTCAATTAGATGTTGAAACTTAAGTTGTGGCAATCGAGAACATACTACTGCCTATTACAGACAGAATTAGAACTTTATGCAATTAGATCAGAATCAGGCTGGGGAACTGATAGACAAAGTCTCTTGAAGTATCCAGGTGCCTCAGTGATTATTTACAGTAAATACAACTGGACTCAAATAGGTAAATCAGGTACCTGACTGTACTCCTTCAGGCCCGGAAATATTAATTACAAAAAAATGTTACAATGAATTCACTGTGGTTCAAGATGAAACTAGATCACTAGCAAACCAGAAATGGGGACTACTTCCTGAGATCAAAATCAGGCCCGGAGTTTAAAGCTTTAATGTATATGTGGACATCAGACTAGATGCAACTGTCCGGTCATCTGTTGGGCTTACTTACTCCTGAAAATTAATCTAACCCTGAGCCTGGCTAGGTTGAAGTGGAGTGTTTTCAGCTGTTCCTGCTTAGATACTGTAGCTCTGTCAGACACCTAAATTGCAAATACCAGGAAGTCAAACTTTGGACTACAGAGCTGACTAGATTTGCAAAGCCTTTGGGAGGCAAAGCACATGACACCAGCTATTAATGAAGAAAAGAACTAGTGAGGGGTAGGGATATAGTTCACTCCATGAAGTGCTCCTCTGCTATGCAGAACCTGGGGTGGTGGTGCATGCCTATAACCCCAGGCCTTTAGGATCTTGAGCCAGGAAGCTCTCAAGTTCAAGGTCAACCTAGGCTACATACAGAGTCAGAGACCAGCCTGAGCTAAATGAAACCGTTTCAAAAAATAATAAACGCCATCTCAAAGAATCCTTGGGTATTTTGTTGTCCCTCCTCCGTGAAAAGGCTTCGGAGTGATGTCAATCTGTAATAAAAGGGGAAGGGGAACCTCAAGAAACCTGAGAGTAGAGTACAAAAGTGGCTTGTGATAAAGATGAGTTTCAGATCATCAGCCACTGGGATAGCTCATTACCGTCCCTCAGCATCACTGACAGGCCTTGTAGCACAGACAGGCTGCAAAAAGGTTCTGTGAGTGGCCTGCCCCGGACAGGCCCTCCTGGAGCGCCCAGCCACCTGCACATTCTCTCTAAGATATCGTGCATGCCCATCTTCACCCTCCTCTTTCTCCCTCTCCATCTTCCAAACCCACTCAGTGCCCGCCCCCGCTCCCGCGGATTGACAGGAGGCACAGCTACTCTTAGGGGCGGGTTTTTCGCCTGGCAACCCGGTAGAGGCGACAATCCCGCAGTAGCCAATGGTAGTAGAGCAGCGGGGAGGGCGGCGACACGGGTCAGGTGCTCTGCGCTGGGGCTGCGTGCAGGTGAGCCGCTGTGGGATCCGCAGGCGCCCGTCTCTCGGCCCCCCTCCCTGGGGGACTAGGCCTGACCTCGCTTCCCTGACCCAGACCTTTGCGGACCGACTGGATCTTAGTGGGTGAGTCCGGGGGCGATGGGCAGCTTGCCTCTCGACAGCTCCCAAAGCACCATCACCCCGCGTAGCCGTTGCACCCCCCCCCAAAATAAAAACGCCACCCCCGGGTTCTCGCCTGCCTCGGTGGGCGGGAGGCCTGGGAGCAAGAAAGTACCTTATTCTGAGACCTTTCTGGGTAACGGGAAGTAATCCAGATAGTGAAGAGTTGATGCATCCCCCTCCCCTTGCTAAACACCTGTTTTATAAGCCCACTCCTCCTCCTCCTCCTCCCCTCTTCTGCCCTTTGATTGGTGGTGCCCCTTCCCTCCAGATTGCCCAGGTTGTGGGGGAAGGGCTGGAACGGCCTGGGAAATCTGGATCCATATCTAGAGATTTTCAGAGCTTCCTGCATCGTTTGTGCATGGAAAAGAAAGAAATTCGTCGTCCCTTTCATCTCCGCCCGGATCTGTGTTTACTGCCTTATGTCATCTGTGTTTGGTTGGTTCTTACAGCCAAACATGCCTATGCTTTTGCTTTAGCTAGCCCGCAATCTTTAATCTTTCCTTAATCTGCTTGCCCTAGGAAAAAAAACAGTTGTCGTCTATCTATTGCAATTGACTGAATTTTCTAAAAATAGATGAAAATCAGATGTTGCATGCGATTGATTCCTTCTTAGCATTAAATTCTATCTGGTTGATAATAGCTTCCCCTTGAGTAAATCGGGGAAGAAGGGGGGGGGGCGGACCATGATCCTCAGCCACAAATGTTAGTAAATATATTTGCATTTCCTTGCACATAGCCCCCTGTTGCAACTATTTTTAAAGTTGTTTCCTTAATTGGAGGGAAAAGTGGCATTTATAGTGCAGTATTAAATTTAAGTTTGGAACCAATATCTGAAATACTTTTGGTTTAAGTAATTTCTAGTTCCAGTAAGGCTACAGTTAAAAAAAACCACTTCTTTCCTTACATATTGTTTACATATTGTTTACATATTGTTTGTGCTTCTCTCAACAAAGCAAGGATGTCAATTAAGGTTACATTTACCGCTTTCTATAATATAACAAGACAAGACAGGATCTATTTTTGAGTTATAAGAATGTATTCAGGGTGTTCAAATTAGGAAGATGTCAAAACCTGAATTCAAGAGATTTCTTTGCATAAAGTATGGTTAGAGCCATGTTTTAGTGGGCTGATAAATACCTTCCTGTAAGATGGACAGAACACAGAAAAACACAAGATCCTTGAGTATTGAAAATTTGATGAGAGCTTGGTAAGCTTTACATAGGATTGTTTATCCGTGTTTCCTATTTGCCTTGGTTTTTAATACAAGAGAAGTTTTTTAGAAATATATGCAGATTTAAAGGAAAAACAAACCTGGATTTAAAATTTAATCTGGTAAATGCTTTTTTTTAAACACATAAATAAGATTAAGTGCTAGCTAACTGTAACATTAGGAAAATCAAATTAGAGAATTATGTTTCTATTTATACTTTTTGCTCAGTGTACAGAAGCCTAAGATTTGGTTGCTAATAAATGGATACAGATTACATTTCACAAATATATTTGAAAGCTAAAAATTTTATTTCAAGAGTCCAAGTTTGTCTACATTCCTCCCTCTATTAGCACCTTATCATAAAGAATCAAACATATGAAAATATAAGGAGTTGGTTATGAAAACATAAGTATGTCTATATGTCATATATACATATATATACATGTATATATTTAAGAACCATTATTGAATATGCTAATAAGTATTTCCTGCTGCCAAGTTTCTGTACGTATTCCAGTTACAGTAAATGTTGACACGGACATTTGACTATATAAAAATTTGTGGTCAAAATTCTGTGTTGAGCAGGAATGATGCTCTGCAGGTAAGGGCACTTACAGACAAGCCTGGAAACTAGACTTCGGTCCTAGGTACTCGCATGGTGGAAGGAGAAAACCAGCTGTCCAAATTTGTCCTCTAACTTCCACATGTGCTATTGCATGTACACACACAATAAAAATGCAGAAAAACTTAAAAATATTTTATTATTTTTATCTTATGTGTATGAGTGTATTTCCTGCATGCAAGTGCACCCTTGTCATGCAATGCCTACAGAGGTCAGAAGAGGGTGTCAGATTCCCCTGAAACTGGAGTTGCAGATGGTTGTTAGCCACCATGTGGTGCTGGGAATTGAATTTGGGCCCTCTGCAAGAACAGCTAGTGCTCTTAACCACTGAGCAATCTCTCCAGCCCCAATAAAAAATGTGTTTAAAGAAATCAGAGTGATCCAGAAAATGTTTTTGATAGTTACATGCAAATTATAGTTTAAAATGCAATTGGGAAAACCTTTAAATAATTCCTTTGAGGTATATAGTTTGATGAGTTATTTGAATGTAAAAAAAAAGAAAAAGAAAATGAACGCAACTAAAAGTTTTCAGCTTAGTATCTTAAGATGGAGTTCTGCAACACATTTCCAGGCTGTGACTTACGATGTAACTGGGATAAAAAAGCACCACCACTCTGTTTGGAAGAAAGTCTACGAGTCAGACTTGTTGCTGTTAACTTCTTTATGTTTATTTGTTTATTCCACAGATTATCTTACACTGAGCTGATCCAGAACTTTGAAAATGACTCCAAAGCCTTTCATGGTGTCTTTCGCTCTGGCTGCCCTAACTCTTTCAACTACATTTTGTCTCCAGCCAGACCAACAAAAGGTTCTGCTGGTTTCATTTGATGGATTCCGTTGGGATTACTTATATAAAGTTCCAACACCCCATTTTCATCATGTCCTGAAGTACGGTGCTCATGTGAAGCAAGTCACTAATGTTTTTATCACAAAGACCTACCCTAACCATTACAGTTTGGTCACTGGCCTCTTTGCTGAAAATCATGGGATTGTTGCAAATGACATGTTCGATCCTATTCTGAACAAATCTTTCTCCTTGGATCACATGAATATTTATGATTCTGAGTTTTGGGAAGAAGCAACACCCATATGGATCACAAACCAGAGGGCAGGACACACTAGTGGAGCAGCCATGTGGCCTGGAACAGATGTAAAGATACATGACAGTTTCCCTACGTACTATCTGCCTTACAATCAGTCTGTTTCCTTTGAAGATAGAGTTGCCAAAATCATTGAATGGTTTACATCAAAAGACCCCATAAATTTTGGTCTTCTCTACTGGGAAGAACCTGATGACACGGGCCACAGTGTGGGACCTGACAGCCCTCTCATGGGGCCTGTCATTTCAGATATTGACCACAAGTTAGGATATCTGATAAAGATGCTGAAAAAGGCCAAGTTGTGGAATAATGTTAACCTAATCATCACAAGTGATCATGGGATGACCCAGTGTTCTAAGGAAAGGGTGATAGAACTTGACCAGTATGTGGATAAAGACCACTATACTCTGATTGACCAATCACCTGTAGCTGCCATCCTGCCAAAAGAAGGTAAGTCTGACCTCATGCTGATCTGAGGCTAGGACAGTATGTCAGTTTCTATGTCTTTAGAATACACTTGCTTGTGCCCTGGGAATATGCTAAGATTTAGTCCTTAGACTTTGAAAACAAAAATCTCCTTTTTGATTTTTTCCCCCTAAAATATTTAAACCTAGGCTGTAGGTTTTAAGCATTTTGGAATCACATAATATTATAAATTAACAACCTCCCTTCTCAGAAAAAGTGAGATGGATAAGTACATACAACATTTGAATTCAATTAAAGTGATTTCTTGGAAGCGCTAAGACCTTCAACAGACCCTTAATCAAGACTGTTTAATAGCAAAGCATAAAGTATGTGAAGGAGATAGAGTGCTTGTCCATCTGAAACTTAGTTTCATTGAGGTCAAGAAGTTTCACAGTGCCTTGAACCTACTAGAATCCTCACACCTGCCTCGGTGTTGGAGTCAGGGCCTCCCTGTATCCCTAGCTGGCCTGGAATTCACAGAGGTCTGCCTACCTCTGCCTCCCAAGTGCTGGGATTAAAGGCCTGCACCACCATACCCAGCAGCATTGACTACATTTTAAACATAGGCAAAGGTTTAACAGCTAGAGGCCAAAAAATGTGCAAGGCAACGCATGAGATTTGCTTTTCTGCATGATACTGTAGCGTTTTAGTTATCAAGGGAGAGAACAGATTTTAAAAAGCTGGAATAGCACAGGCCGGGGAATTGTGGCCTCAGAGGAACCAACAGGAATTCTATTAAGTGATGAATGCCCACGTATGCACCTTTGCCTACACACAGTTGTCAACTGGTAAATCACATTAAACCATCAGTTTCCCTTAGGCAGTTGGAGTGATGTTCTCTTGTGGGGGGTGGGGAGTGGAGACAAAGACTCCCCGCCCCAAAATGGATTTAAGGAACAAGAATTAAAGATAAGGGCTAAAAAGATGACTCAGCAGTTAAGAGCACTTACAGAAAACCCAGGTTCTGTTCCCAGCACCCACACGGCAGCTCACAACCACTTGTAACTCCAGGTCCAGGGGATCCCAGGCTCCGTTCCTACCCCTGTGGGATCCTTCAGGCATATGGTGCACAAACTGGCATAGGCATCCCCATATATACATAAGTAAAAAATATAATAAATCTTTAAAAAAAGAATGAAAAGACATTGGTGATATATGCTGTATTTGCATTCCTGGAAAATTCTTTAACACCTCCAGTGTACTGAGGGCATTTCCATTTCTAAAGCTGCTTTGTGCCTCTGGTCATCCTCTCCCTACCCTTGACCTCTACATACGATGTTTTCTTAGGTAGAGATTCTGTCTCTGTCCCCACAAGAAATATTCCATTGTTTGGGCTTCATAATCAATACCTTGTTATTTACTTAGTGTCATTAATACAGATGCATGTGTGTGCATGTTTAAGTCTTTAAAGAGTGGATTACTGGCTCTATAAAATGCCCTCTCTGTAAGAGAATTTACTTATGACAGAAGAGTAGCTATTTTTTTTTGCCCCTCAAGATTATTTTCTCTTAAGGGGTAGAGTTTTAACCTGCTTGGCTATTTTTCCTAGTGCTCCTGGTATTTTTCCTCTACCAGGAGTCCGTTACCCACCCTGGCTATTTGTAGGAATGTGAGTCTTGCTCTGAGATCTTTTTTCCCTTTGTCTTTAGGTAAATTTGATGAAGTCTATGAGGCGCTGGCTGAGGCTCATCCTAATCTAACCGTTTACAAAAAAGAGGAGATTCCAGAAAAATGGCATTACAAGTACAACGATCGGATTCAACCAATCGTAGCAGTGGCTGACGAAGGGTGGTATATTTTGCAGAATAAGTCAGATGACTTTCTGTGTGAGTATGTTATAGTATTTCTTCCCATTCTGCATCGTTTTTTGCTAACATGGAGGCTGTGGATAATACAGCAGTTTACTTACTGATGTTTCTACTCTGTTACTTGAATGTGGAAGGAACTATGTTGTATCAATACTACGCTATCTAGAAATGTTTCTTAGGATATTGGTCCTTGCTATATATACAAAAGAAACACACAGGGCTGAGGGTATAACTTGGTGACACACAGGCTTGGCTAGCCCATGTAAGGCACTGGGTTTGAGCCCCAGCACTGGAAAAACAGAATGTATAAAAATGTCTCTTAGTTAGAATTGAGTTTTTATCCTATCCTGTTCACTGACTAAAAGCAGTTGCATGAAAATGCGTTTGTAGTGTGTTTGTGACTCCTAATAGTACATATGTACAAGAACTTGCTTTCTGGTTCCTAACAGTTTGTACACACAAATGATGATGTGTAAATCACTATTTATACCAGGCAAACCATGAAGACCATATTCTTGCCATGAGACTAATTTCCACCTTCATATATTTGGTTTAATTGTGCAGATAGAGAAACTGCTGGAAAAAAAAAGGACTGCCATCTTTGCAATTTGCATTTACTGGCTGCCATAATTTAAGGAGGCAATCTAGGGCTTTTGGTTTTGTGAGCTGCAATTACACAATAAGTTGGTCCCATTTATTTTTGATAGCAAAACCTCATTGATTCTGTCTCTATTATATTATGCTCATTTATGCAATAAATATTTAAAGCTTGACCACTTTGGGCCTTTTCAGTCAGTGTTCTAAGAATCAATAAGTCCTAGACTCCAAAGGCAATAGTTCTCACTCAAAGTGTGTTCCCTGGCCCAGCAATCGTTTGGCAGTGAGTTAAAAAGGCACACTTGGGCCCAGTCTAGACATACCGAAATAGAAACTGTGAGGCTAGGGCCCCATCCTCTGTTTTTACATACCCCTCAGAAGCCTCGGACACAGTGAATTTGAAAACAGCGGCTCTTAGGCACTCATCGTTAAATATTGTCTCCCAAATCAAACATTTCTGGAAAGAGCTACCACTATAAAAGCAAGGTCCCTGTTCACAGAAAGGACTTTGAGTCTTAATGACTTCCTTTTGAATCTGATTTTCTAGGCGTTATATGAGAGAATTATCTCTGCTTCTTCATGTGACATAATGTCTAGGTCCCAACTTCTAATGAACACAAAAGCCATTAAATCAATTACTGATTATAGAATGGTATATTTCTCGACATTATCATCAATCAAACAGATTACCTGATATTTGCTATTGGTTCATAAATCCAGCATTATTCCTACTTGATTAAACCTAAAAGAATCCTGGCATTTAGAGCGACTTCTCTAGATGGATTGGATTTGACAGGCAGATTTCAAATTACTTTTGAGATGATGGATCAGTTCGTGACTTTCAGAAAAATTGACTTGGCGTGTTCTTTCCCTTCATTTGAATGCTGTTGTGACTTTCTTTGTAGGGAAGATAGGTATTAGAATTTGAGTCATGAGTCCTTTTCATCACCACCTTTAAAAGGAAGCCTATCAGTTGTCTGGAGCTGCTGACAGCCGCTGCCACATCTTGGCCTCTGATACCGTGTCAGGAATGTGTTCAGCTTTTATTATGCAGTGTGCATCCTTCATATTTTAGTGTAATCAGTGGATACTCATGTCAGAAGACCTTTTAGGTGGTTCTTTGTGGCTATAATAAAGCACTGAATGCTAAGCTGGATCTTAATCTGAGCCACCAAAGTCAAGACTTTTCCACTCTGTCTACAAGTCCTGACGTTTTTTTAGTGTGAACTGTAGCTGTAACTAAAGATTTGACTTCTGTGCTGTCTTGTTTTTATGTATTTCTTTTCCCTTTCTTTTGGTGAGCATGAGCTTGTCTTCTGTGACTGATAACAATACCACTTTAGAACAGAGATCTGACATGGTAGCTACCCAGTAAATGTTTGCTGAATATCAGTTGGTCAGCCTCAAAACAAGATGAAACAATCTTCCCTCATTTTCTAATGACTTGGCTTATCTTTGCTCTCCCCGTCCCTTCTCTGCTGTTTAAGGTAGTGTTGGCCCGCAAGAAAGATTTGCAATCATTTGATCTTTTATTTCTTGAGGTGAATTGTGGGCTTGACAACAGTGGAGATGATAAGAGATGATTTCATTTTTTTAAAGTCAAATTAGATAAAATTTGCACCTAAGTTCAGAACTTGACCCTACAACAGTGATTTCCGTTTTAATGCCATTTGGTTGGCTAACTTATTCATACGTTTTCTCTTTACAGTAGGCAACCATGGTTATGATAATGCATTAGCAGAAATGCATCCAATATTTTTAGCCCACGGTCCTGCCTTCAGAAAGAATGTCACAAAAGAAGCCATGAACTCCACAGATCTGTACCCACTGCTCTGCCACCTCCTCAATATCACCGCTATGCCCCACAATGGATCATTCAGGAATGTCCAGGATCTGCTCAATTCAGCAACTCCCAAAGCAATTCCTTACACACAGAGTACCACACCCCTCCTCAGTAGTGAGAAGCCAGGAGAGTGTGAACAAGAGGAGTCATACCCGTATTTCATAGGGATCTCTCTTGGTAGCATCATAGTGATTGTATTTTCTGTAGTTTTCATTAAACATTTAATTCACAGCCAAGTGCCTGCTTTACAATATATGCAGGTTGAAATTGCCCAACCATTACTACAAGCTTAATGCTTCTTCCAAATGGAATTGCATATTGAAGTGGAGCTTGCCTAATTATGTCAAAGGCAAACATTTCGAATTCTGGGAAACCAGTTTCAGACATCTGCATAGGCCATCAAGCAGTTAATCCATACTTAAGCACAATCACACGTACATACATACATATGCACAGAGAGAGCGAAACATTTGTCCCTGACAAAGATCAAAAGACGTGAGAGTATTTCTCCTGTTTTCTCTAGCTCAGTGGGTAGGTAAGATCTTGCTCTCTTTGGAGCTGGCATATATAATGTGTATATTTCACAACTTTGCACTGTTTAAAGTACCTTCTGCATTGCACTTTGCTATCCCAATTGGTACTTTTCTCTGAAATGTACTTTATAGTCACTTCTAATACCTTGGGTGCAAATGTCAACCTTTTGTATCAGTGTCACCGAATACTGGCGTTTCATGCACAAAACTGAGGGAAGTTTCTAATAATTCTTGAATAACATAGAAATCGATCTCCTTAAATAGAAGAATAAGAAAGTAAAAGCTGGTGAAACTCAGTGGCATAAACTTTGTACCCTGAATTTGGGGAGATGCCTTCCAAGCAGCAGTTTGTATCTGTGGGCATTGCAAGCTAGGTTTCTTCACCAAGGACACAGATTTTCACTTACTTTTTCCTCCAAGTAGATTCAAATACCAACAGGTTCATTCTAAACATATTGTTTCTAAATGCATAGTTAATTATTGCTCTTTGCTGATGAGCCCTAGTCCTCTGACCTCACAGTAATGAGGATACTGTGCTTCTAGAGTTCTTTTCTGTGTAGTGCAGCAGTGGCCGAAGCGCACAGACCAGGCAGTATCTGCAGTGTTTTCTCTTGCCTGTAATTATTTGCTTCTTTGAAAATGAAATCACTATTAATCACATTAAAAATCAAGTGAGATTAAAAAAAAAGTGCTTGGTTTTGTTGTTTGTTGTTTGAGTGTGAAGCAACAGGGTACAAACATCATTTAGATTTGAGTCTTTGAAGACGCAGACTTTCAAAAAGAGTTCGAAGCATATTAGGTAAAATATAGGCTGCTCGATCCTTGAAAAGAGCTTCGTAGACCCCAGAAAACAAACAAAAGCACATTCGTGCCATTCCCTTTCTCAGCATAGTAGCAAAAGGTACCTCATGGTCAACACTTAATGGGGAGAGGGGATGGTCTCTTGGGATAACAGGTAGAGGAATACCAAACAGTTTACTTAGCTCTGTTTCCGGAAATACATGAATACCCACCTACCAGGTGCTCACTTGAGTTGAAGGAAGTAGAGTTCTTCTTCATATGTTTCCTACCACCCAGTTTCTAGCTGCCTGGTCATCTCTGCCACTCTCCTTACAACAGCCTAAAGCCAAGCTTTAGATGTCTGAGTAATGAAGAAGCTGGGGTGAGACACCAGAGGACATGCAAAGAGAAGCTTTCCAAAGCTTTAGCAGACTCACAGTAGATGTCGCCCATAGATAAGTGTGACTTTTTTTGCATATTCATGCACCAGTTGGCTAATAACTAAAATGGCATCATTTCAGAAAGATGAAAAACAAAACTGACATAGTTAACATTTTAACTAAGTTTAAGTGTTTCCTAAGATTTGATGAATTACTTATAAATGATTATACTCCCTCCCCCAATGTAAAGAATATTAGTATGTAATTTTATTTTAGTAAAAATTTCTTAATAGAACAGAATAAATGCAAATGGCCACTATCCGAAAGGACACCGAGAAGTCAGAAAGCAGGTAAAAAAACACGTCACATGTCTAAACTGTAGGTCATACATTATGGAGTGTGTGAGCATGTGTGTTGGCTGACCTTGTAATTTTGAACTTATCCACAGTACTGACTTGATATGAAATTTAGTCCATTTCAAAGCCTTGCTACTCAAATGCCATGTGTACATTTATGCTGTTATGTTCAATTCAATTTTGAAGGTGCTGTTACCATAGAAGTACATTCTGTAACACTGAAAGCGAGCATTACAATTTTGATAGGGAGGTTTGATCACTGACTGCCTTGTTTACAGATACCTATGTACCTACAAAAATAGCAGCAGGAGGCTTTAGTGAAGGACAATAAAACATTTAACTTTTCCAGGAAGAAAGAAAGGCCTAGCTCTTCTGGTTGTCCTTTTTTCCCAGACATTCATTAAGAGGAAGGCTCTAAGGAATTACTCAACCACTCAATTCATCAAGGGCCTTTGCCCTTGTTATGAACAGTAACTTGAGTGACATTAGTGCCAGAGCTACAAGCAGACTGGTTTCCTGACTTAGTTTATAATCAAGCCTAGGTCAGTGGACTCCTGGTTCTTCCTAGAAGGTAGCCCTTTGGAATTCCATGCCAAGCAAGAAGTGGCTACCCAAGGCTTCTATGTTGGGCAGGCTCCGTGCTACCACTTTTGACCTCCACCTATGCGAGATTTTTAGCTTCCTTCCAAACTGGCCAGTGCTATAGGATAAAAATCCTGTGTGCTGTGCTCATTTACCAGTCTTCCCTGAGTTTCACTCAGCTAACTCTCACTACCTTGTGAGCAATTTGATGCTTTTACAACATTTAATAATAAACCTTGGCTGGAGAGATGGCTCGGTCATTAGGGTGTTTGCTGAGTAAGCAAGGGGACCTGAATTAGATTCCCAGCACCGAGGAGCAACACTTGAGATTGTGCTTTGGCCTCATCATGTATGCATAGGACACATGCACCTACACACACGTGCTCTGAATACATGAACACGCATGCACACATGGTCAGAACAAGATAGAACAGCCCTGAGTTTTCTTACCCCAAGTGGAAGACTCCGATAGGGTGGCAAGGTGGATGTCCAGCTTCACATATTCTCCATCCAAGAAAAGGTGATGGATGGGACTATTCCCAAAGCCCCACCTGGCAGAATGACAGCCCAAGTAGGTTTATTCCTCCCTGGACTGAAGAGGAGCCTCTCAGTATCAGGTAAGATTATCACAGCCAAGAGAAATATTTTCCTTCCTCTACCTCAAGACAGGCTTTTCTACTGAAAACTACAGATGTGGTAAACAGGATCTGTAACAGGCCCAGCCACAATAGTTTGGATAGCCTGTATGTTTCCACAGGTTTGAGACTTCCCCACTTAGAGCCATCAGGGTGAGCAGTCCACACCTAAAAATGGGAGCAAGTTACAGAACATATCTTGATCTAGGAAGCCTTTGTCCTCACTTCCTCACATGACTCTTCTGCCTGGAAATACCATGGATGTGTTTTTAGGGAAGAATAGAATTACCTGTCACTCTGCCCCCAAGTGACACTGGCTGCTAGCCTGGGGAAAACCCTTCTGTCTCCCTAAAACAGGACTGGGAAACAGGAGAAAAGAAAACAAAACAGTAGGAATCTCAATACATGTAACACCAAAGCTATGAAATTAAGCTGACATTGGCTTATGAAAGAAGGCTTAACATATGCATGCTAACCCTACATATGGTGACTTCCTAAGATAAATTTAAAGGGAGGTTCTAGGCCCTGCAATAAGGTAAGAAAAATAAATAAAAAGGCACACATTTGAAAGAGGAAAATGGTTCCTACTTGTAGGTAACATGACCTTGTCTATAGAAATAACAAAAAAGTACATAAGTCTTAGGATTAGTTTATAGTAAATTACAACATAAAAGATACACACACCAAGACTAGTCATATTTCTGTATATTAACAGTATGTGGAAACTAGTTTAAAATGTAATGCCGTTTACAATCACTTCAAAAACTGAAATGTTTGGGTAAAAATGTAACAAAATATAGAGGATATGTATCCTGAAAACTCGAATAAGGATGAAAGACATCAAAGGAAAACTTCAATAAGTAAAAAGATACAAGTTCATAGATTGAAAGTTTGAACATAATGAAAACATCAAGTCTCCTTAACTGATCTAAAGATTGATTGCAAGGCTTTCTTATAGACATAGGCAGCTTATTCTAAAATTAATGTGGCAAGGCAAAGACCCTAGAATAGTTAAACCTACTTGAAAAAGAAGAAATATGTAAGAATAATCCTATCTGATATTAAAGGCTACTGTCTAGCTGTGATAATCAAGGCAGCGTAGTATTGACAGACACATAGTTTAAAAGAACACTAGAGAATCAAAAGTATACTCACATCAGTACTCTCAAGTCACTGGCAAAAGTTCAAAAACAATTGAATGGGGGAAGAGCAGAATTTACAAGGAGGATGCTGAGGCATTTAATCACCCACAGGCAAATAAACACATGCCTTGCATAAACAATAGCTCAAAATGGTTCACAGATTTAAATCAAACTAAAATTTAGGGGGAAAAAAACAGAAAAACTTCATAATCTAGAATAAGGCAGAGTTCTTCGACTTGTCAGCAAAAGTACAATTCATAAAATGAAAAACTAAGTGCTGAGAATGTAGCTCAGTGGTAGAGTGCTTGCCTGGCCTGCAAGAGGCCAAGGTTTCATCCCCAGTACAGGAGGAGGGGGTGGGGAATGAGAATGATCCTTATCAAAATTAGCCTTTTTGTGTGCTGTGGAAATCCACATTAAGAGAACAAATAAATTACACAGAGTAGGAGAAAAGTCCCAGGGAACCACACATCCACCTAACCAAGGACTTAGCATGTAGAATTCCAGTGAATTTAAAAGTAAGCAAAGACAGGAACAGACTTCAGCAAAGATAAAATAGAACAAATTTGATCATGAAAAATGTTCAACATCATTAGTCATTGGGAAATGCAATTAAAACCACAGAGGAAAAAAAACACTCAACATCCAACCTACCAGGATTGCTTTTCATTTTTAAATAGTGCTACAATCAAGTGCTATCAGGATGCCATAGAAACTAGATGACCCCCATGTTCCTGGGAATGTAAAATCAAACACACACTGTGGAAAACAGCTCTACAGTTTCTCATAAAACCAAACTTGTCCTAACGTTTACGCTTTTGGCCATTTATCCCAAAGAAATGAAAATTATTCACCCAAACAAAACTACACACTGTTAATACAAACACTGGAATCAGGCAACCCTCAAATCATTGGATAAACAAACAGTGCTTTAAATAGAGCATGGAAAAGTAGCAATAGAAAAAACTATTTATTGATATTTATGACAACTTGTATGAATCTCAGGGAATTATGCTGACTGGAAGAAAAATGCCCCAAAGTTACATACTGTAAAGTTTCGTTCATATAACACTTTTGAAATAACATCATCTTAGGAATGAAGGGTGAGTCTGAAAAGGCAATGCAAAGAATATTTTTGGTATTGCAAGTATTTCATATTACAGTCAGTTCCAGATGGCCAGAGAAAGTACATTTCTTAAAATTCTAGAGGTGTGAAGTCCCAGCCCAGTTTCTGGTGAGTTCTCTCTTTGTGGCCTGCAGATAGCCACCTTATGCCCATAAACAGGGAGATGGGTTGGAGGGGGAAGATGCTCTCAGCCCTCTCTCTTCTAAAGACATTCATCCCATAGTAGGTCTTCCATCTCATGGCCTTATGGAAATTTACTTTTCAATATATCTCATAGCAGGGTAGGGCCTCAAGATACAAATTTTGAGGGACGCAAATTGATTTTTCAATGAGCAGACAAATTGTATTTCATGTGGTTATTGTGAACATTAAAGAGTTACTACATTTGGCAAGTGGATGGAAAACCGCAAGCTCCCAGGAACTGCTGGCCTGTGTCGTTACACTTTCTGTACTTAATACATCAAGGAACTAATGCTTCCAATAACAGCAGCATAAGGGTTCAGACCAATGCTCCCACTAACATGAAAATAATATTAGTGATAACCTAGAAAATAATATTAGCAAATTATACCAATGTCAGTATCTGGTTATAATAATAAACCACAATTTTCAAAATGAGAAAATTATCAGTGAACAAGGGCTATTACTTCTTCCAACCTCATGTAAATTTACCATAATTTCAGGGGC